TCGGCAAGTACCAAAAATAAAAGTATCGGTATCGGGCGAGTACTGGAAAAAGTGGTATCGGTGCATCCCTAAAAATAACTAAAACAAAAAAATTAATACAATTATATAAAAAAATAGATTTTAAAAATCCTGAAATGATAAAAAAAAATTAAATTGTAAAACATAAAATGCAAAAATAAAAACTAATTTAATGTAACACACACACAGTTAATATCTTAATGTATAACCATGTTTACCGTGTATTTTACATTTACTGTGTTAAGTTGTAATATAGATAGATAGATAGTAAAATAATGCATGTTTGCTGAAATGATGTAAACAGTCAATATTGTACATCAACCATTTATTTTTTATATAAAAATGTTGTGGTCAATATGTGCAAATATACGTATGTGTATATATATATATATATATATATATATATATATATGTAAACATCGTATTGTACAAATTGGTAACAAAAAAACGGTAATTTTCACATACAGAGCATGATTGAAATGTTAGCTGGACTAAAATAATATTAATAAAAAACTTAATTTATGCCATCTTGTGCTTACATTATCGTGTGTGACAGTACCATGGTACAATGATGTTATCCAAGGTAATACCATATTACCATAATAAACCTTAATCATAAACTTCACTTTCATACAGTTATACAAATACCATGGTACATGTCCAAAAAACATGGCATTACATTTTTTGTTAGTATAGGTTATTTAAAAAAAAACATTAAGTGCTCTGTTTATTTTATTTATTTTCTATAAACTCCACAAAAAACTTGATTTGTCAGCATAATACTTCAAATAAAAATACCTTTCATTGTTTTATACCAGATTATGCTCATTAGTTGAATAAAAAGTGGTTTGAGATCACATATCTGGTTTTGAAAATATATAATATGTAACAATATGCATTGAATGGATTGTCAGAACCAAGGCTGATCATTTTTAGTGGCCGTCTGCAACAAACTGAAGCTTATAATGATTTTACTCACCACTAAAGAGCAATTTCTGAGAATATTAAACTTGGTGGTTAAAGATCCTGCTCCTGTTTTATCTGTAGCAAGTGAATCACTTCATCCAGGTACCATGAGCATATTATACAGCACTCAGCATGAGAAGTGTCTGTTAAAATGAAAATGACTATGCAAAAATTCTTGGCCGTGTTTGTTTGAGGTTTAAGACTGAATTGGAGTCTGAGATGGGGTGCGGTTCAGGAATTAAGGTGAAGGATGGTAACTGATGTCATTTCAGGTTTGACATGACTCGTGAGTTGGCATTTTAAGGTTTCACAGTCTCAGATCCAACTCTGGTTCCTCAATCTCGTCCTGCAGATTGTCAGCGACGGGCTTCATGAGCTCCTTGAAGTGTTTGATGTTGGTTTCGTGCAGGATGACCTGCGTCAGGTAACGCTCCCGTTTGATCTGCTCCTTCAGAGCTTCCGGCACGTCTGGGATCATGTAGGACAGCATGAACTTGGTGAAATAAACAATGTGCTGCGAGGAGAAGAAAACCGCATATTTACAACAACAGAACAAACATGTTTTATTGAGTTATCATTAGTGGTATCACATCTAGTCACTTACCTCAACCACAATCATAAAAGCCAGTTTGGCAGCAATAACGTGCCAATAATGTATACTGTACTCATATTGATTAGGATGATTGGGAGGATTCCTGAAATCACGATACCTGAAACATAAGAAGAATCAATTAATAGATGAGTCATAGTTAAAAATCAACAACAACAACTGATCTTTATATAACAATGCTGTTTTGTTTTAAAAATAAATAAATAAAAATAATTCAAAATGTTTTGTGAATTAAAAATTAATATATATATATATATATATATATATATTGGTAACACTTTACAATAAAGCTCCGTTTGTTAGCATTAATTAATGCATTAACATTATCTTAGATTATCGAGATTTATTAATCTTTGTTAAATGTTAATTAATAAAAATGTAAATATTCTTTGTTGTGTATATATATGTATATATACAGATACAGCTTTTGATTTTAATAATGTTAAATGTTAAAACTAAGATGAATAAATGCTTTAGAAGTATTTTTCATTGTTAGTTCATGTTAACTAATACAGTTAGCAAATGTTAGCAAATATAACCTTGTTGTAAAGTATTGCCAAAATATTAAAGCTAATTTAAAGAATCCTAACTAATACTCTTAACTAGAAGTACAAAAAAAATAAAGATTCTTCTATATGAATAATGTTTAAATAATAAACTTTAACTACATTCATTATATTCTTTAAATAAATCACTTCAAAAAGATAAACCCCTAAATAATAAATAAAATATTACAAAATTAAACATTTCTCATTTTTATTTAGTGTAACTTGTTGGACTAAAATAACTAAAAATAAAATAAAAAGTAATAAAAAGTATATAGACATTGAAAAATTGAATAAATTTAAAAAGCACAATATACTTACTAAAACGTTAAATAAAATATAAAAAGTAATTCAATATATTTATTAATATTACACTAAAACAACACTGGGTCTCACTAAAAACTGCACGGATTATTCAGTAATCATACCAGTAGATGCTTTTCCACAGAACTAAAAAGATCTTTGTTCATTTTTTTCCCAGTGTAATCAGGTTGTAAAACATGTTTTGGTTTTAAGTAACCTTTCACTGAACTCAAAAACCACAGATCAATCTTTCTTGAACATCTCTTGCCACCTGCCATATTATTAGACAAGCTTTTGCTATTTTCTACGCAAATCTATCAAAGTCTTGTGGGTAGTTTTTAAAAATGAAACAAACATACAGGTGTTGCAAGTCTCTTATAATACTCTCTTTTCCCTTTTCTAAATACATATGCATGCTGTGTATTAAATCGTCATTTCCCAAATAAACATGCAGAAGAATGCTTGCAAAAGTGGCAAGCTTATAAAAGGATGAACTGAAAGCATTTTAGTGCAGTTACAACTGGTTATGTTTTACCAGCTCACCGGCATGTGGTGATGTTGTTGAACCAGAACGGTGTGTCAACAATAGGATTGCTGTTGCCATTGAAGTCTGCAATGTTGAAGACAGACAGCGAGCTGTTGATGAAGCCCGTCATGGTGTGGCTAGATCCATCTGAATGAGGGCTGATAGAAATCGCCCAGTAGTAAACCAGCCGAGGGATCATGTCAGAGGTGAAGGCAATGATGGCAGCCTGGAGAGGAAGCACCCACAGTGAGTGAACGTGACCTGTTACACAAGATGCAAAAACAACGACTTCCTCTCAACACACATTTGTGGCCACCGCTAGAATCGCCACCCCCTGCAGGATGGGCTGCCAGGCGCCGATGTCTTGGGCCTTTTCTGGAACGACCCGCCGAGACTGAGTCGTGAACTTCCAGGCGTCCACGCGGATTTCACACAGGTTGTTAAACAGCGCCAGGAGAGGAGCCAACGGAAAAGACGCCACAAACAGAGTCACGAAACCAAACTGGATCACTGCAAACACACCAAAAAAAATATTAAAGGGTAGTTCACCAAAAAATTAACGTGTTGTTAATTTACTCCCCCTTAAGTCAAGGTGACTTTAGCATATTTTTAGGTGATTTTTTGCTAAAATCATTGTCTTTGGTGATTCATAAAATGCAAGTCAATGGCTACCAGAACTCTGAGAGTCAAAAAAGCACATACAGGCAACAATTAATCCCTGTGACTCCTCATGATATTTTAAGGTCTTATGAAGAGAAACGATCAGTCTGCAAGAAACTGAACATTATTTACAGCATTATTACCTGTAATCCAGAGCCTCAGGCAAACGGTCCGGAGTGATGTCCGGTTCACAAACGAATCATTCTTTTTAACCAGCTTTTTTTAGTGAACTGAATGAACCAGTTCTTTAAATCCGACTAAATCGTCTGAAACAGTTCGCGGCTCAAGCAGCACAGATCTACAAGTTACTCAATCTAAACTCACTTTCAGATGCCTGACAGTCACTCTAACTCAAAATGAGCCAAAATAGCGCCATATCTTACCCTATAATGAATGAACTGATTCAGTGCTCCAGTTCCTCCAATAGTCACTGAACTGAGGAAACAGTTCCGAAACCGAAGACCGATGAGTTGCTGATATGTGCATGCGTAAACCAAGCAATTTAATGAAAGGGCCAAATGAACGTTTTTATGGTTTCTCATTGTTTATGTAAAAAGGTGAGCTGATGAAGACAAGTTTATTCGCTTTATATGCTTTAGACATGCAAAACATCCACGTTTCACATCATTATTGGCTGCTTTAATAATATAATTAGTATATGTTATGTGTGATTATGTAAACAAACTGATGAATCAGTTATTTGAACCAGATCATTGAAACGAACTGTCCAAAAGAACCAGTTCACAGAAAAGAATCAAGATTTCCCTGTTTGTCTGAGGCTCTGGATTACAGGTAATAATGTTGTAAATAATGTTCAGTTTCTTGCACGCAACGATCATTTCTCTTCATAAGACCTCA